GGACGGACGGACGGACGGACGGACGATCATGCGATTCTACAAGCTGCATCTGACTATGTCAGATGAGCTAAAAAAATACAGAAAACAGGTAAATAATAAAAAAATCAGATGGGATTCGATCGAGCGCCCTTTGAGTCGTGACGCCCGTGCTGTACGCGTGCTGTATGCGTTCGGCTATCCAGGCTTATTGGGTTTCAAGATTATGGATGTGCCATGAATATGAGAACACTGTGACGTCATTGAGGCAGTTAAGGAATCCATGTTTAATCCTCCTCTTGAGGGTCAAAAGGTTATCAGACACTTACTCTTCGCACGTCAGTGGAAAGCACATATCATGGTCCTTTCAATAAAGTGATAAAAATGGTAGGTCAGCACTGAAACAAAAAAGTTTTTCACTCTGTCCATTAGGCCATGTCCTCAGAAAATGTCTGATATCTGACCTTTCCCCCACTGCCCTTTGACCTGTGACCTCCAATTTCGCACTGGTGATGAGTTTCCTGCCCATCACACTATACACCGAATATTAAGAGCATAGGTGGAGCCGTTCAGATTTGTGCCGCAATTCCGTATTTCCTCCTATACCTTAAGTTAAGGGGGAAATATTCCACCTCTGTTTACACATCTTGAACTTTGACCCTTGACCCCCAAATTTGTCATCCTGAGTCCTTTTCACGATCCCCCCCCCCCGACGCCCCGAATATCGTGACCGTACGTCGAGCAGTTAAGATTTGTGCCCAGCTGTTGACGAACGGACGCACGGATGCAAGGACGGACGCACGGACAATCATGCGATTCTACAAGCTGCAGCTGACTTCGTCAGATGAGCTAAAAATAGAATCTAAGAATGTATAATTGTAATCCAATAACTTATGTTGTTGTACCTGCTTGTGGACCTTAGTCAACTGGTCAAGATTATTCTCTAGGAAGGCTATCTTCTGTCTCTGGGCCAAACTGCCTCCAACATCTTCCAACTCTTCAGTTTGTGGCATCTACGTGTAAAATTCCGAATATGAGACAAACAAGCAGGACAAATCTCCTTGTGACTTATCACAGACCCACAAACGTGCAGGCACACACCTTGTTACAGATGAGCAAATCTACACGTAGAAGATCTATGCCTCTATTAACACATGTAATCTACACACAAAGGCGTCAGGCCAGATACATGACCATCTCATCAGAAAGAGGTCACCCCGGCATCTAAGCACCCTCGACTAGGTAGTCACGGCGGGACTCGCACACCACGCCAGCAGAGGGCGCACCTTCTTGACCCGTGCCTGCAGGTCGGCAACGAAGAGCTTCCTCAGGTTGTGCAGTGTCTGCAGCTCCTTAGCAACGGTCTCTTCAAGTCCCTTCAAGTCCTGCCTGGCCTGCTCGCGCTTGTCAGACTGCAGCCTGTGTGTGTGCAGCAATTACAGTCAGTTATGGTTAGCAGTTATGGTTACCAATAGCTGCCACTGGGACACTTCAGGTCCTGCCTGGCCTGCTACCACTTTTCAGAGTGCAGCCTGTGTGTGTTTGAGTGCGGGTGAGCGTCCGTGTGTGTACGCGCATATTAATGATAGTCAGTTATAGTTAGCAATAATTATCACTATGGTTAGCAATCCTGTGAGGCGGTGTGTCGACTCTGAAATCACCTAAGAACTGAACCAGCTTTCATTTCAAAGAAGGCCTTATCTAGTAAAAGTAACTGGTGCTGTGCCTTATTGATGAATCTCATGTGAGGTTGAATGATTTATCTCTACATGTATATCATAGCACTTTATCTTCTCAATGTAGAGTTTAAGTATTACCATGAGTGGATTCATTGGTCTGGGTAAACATACCTCCCCCTAAACGTGTAATAATGCATGGCAGTTTCAAATGCACAGTTGAGTACCCACTTATGTATGCATTGCTACTCACATGAGCTCAGACAGCTTGGCCGCCTGCTCAGTCTCCTCACTCTTCAACTTCTTGTAATCTCCCATCAGCTTCTCATAGGCCAGAGTCATCTTTTGTACTTGACTGCACGAGAGAATATTATAATATACAATAGTATTACCTACAGAGTACATTAAGACTAGCTCAGAATAGCAAGCAGGGCATGGAATTTCATCATCAGAGATTTAAGGAGAATAATGCTGCCGAAACATTTTACTTTGCAATACACTTATACACACACAATACACACAAGAGCTTATTCATTGCCATCTTTGCAAATCCAACTTCTGTTACTTAATGACCCGGTGTTTTTTGTCCTGGCTACCTTTTGATACATGTGAGGGTGGCCACTTTGTGCTTTATGACACAGGCTATTCTTTGCATGTCAACCTATGAGTGAGTTATCGATCACCATCGCAATGCTTGCTGCAAGTACAACACTCTCAAATACTATATTCTAACTGTAAGCATCCCACCACCACATTCGGCTGTAGATTAGGTCTCGTTTGCTCTGCATTATTTTTTACCTGTACATTACTCCAACCAATGCTAACCACACCTACTTCACCCTAGCAGCCCCTGCTTACTCCTTCAGCTGTGAGATCATCGCCTCCTTGCTCTGGATCTCCTCGCGCAGTGCAACGAGCTGCTTGTGGTGGCTCTCGCGCTGACCGCTCAGCTGCTGCTGCATCTGCTCCTTCATATTGTCCTCCTTCTCCTTCTCCTCCTTTGCGAGGATGTGCAGCCGCTCTGCAAGCACGCAAGCCCACAGCCCCACTCAGTGGCAGCATTCTCATTCCAATGGCAGACAAAGATGGACCGATATGAGTGGGAACACATGTAAGAAATTTCTACAGTGACACGTAATTCTGTTGCATTTGATTTCACCATACCCTGTAGTTTAAGCTGGGCAGTTTCTTCGTTCAGGGTATCCACAGTCTCTTCCAGTTGCCTCTTTTTGTTCTCCACATCCTTCATTGTCTCCAAGAGTGACTTTGTCTTCAACTCATGCTGAAATCAAACCAACCATGCACATTAATTCATGTATAAACGGATATTTTTCGGTCATTACAACTTGGAATAATTTAATTTGACACTTGTTTTAATAGTAACACAGTGCTACAAAAAAACGCATCAGGGTTTGATATTGAGTGCAGTCTTTTATGAGTTATGGTTCTTTATTTGCATAAATGTTCTCTCAAAACATACGACTTAAATTTTAGGCAGCTTTCCATTTGGCATTCCATTTTTTTGTTAATATGAAATTGTGCTTAACTTATTTGCGGCCTAAATTCTGCTTCACACTCTATGTAGTAATTGAGAAATATCCAAAATACAATTTTTACATAAAAATTCAAAATTGTTTGTCATATAATTAGGAACTGAAAATTTCATGAAATTTCTGTGCTTGAGTATTGAGATATATCTATAAGTAAAACGTGTAATTGATTAAATTCATTGATCAATAAACATCTACTCTTCTTTAGAGAAAGAAATACCTGTGAAAAAGCTTGAGTGTATCCTTAAACCAAATGAAAACAAGAGCCGCAGAGCGTCTGGGCTCATCTGAGGTCTGTTGCTACGGTTATAAACGTAATATTTAAGTCGTGCGTAGTGACACCTTTGTTAGGCGCAGATATGCAGATACGCAGTTGCGTACACATCATTTCAGCAACCTTCTGCATTCGGCATACCTCCCAAATCCCATTGGTTGACACAAATCGCGTGCCTGAAACTCCTGTTTTATGGGTATTTTAACCCTAACCCTAACCCTATTAAAAAAATATAATAATAATAATAAATAACATTATTTGTTGTTATTAAATTGTTGTAAATAAATCTAAATATTTATGTAAACATTTGCGTTAATTGGAAAAAAATAGTTAAATGGATAAAGATAGAAAAATACAGAAAAAACACGTAAATAATAAAAAATCTGATGGGATTCGATCCAAGGACCTTTGAGCCGTGACGCCGGTGCTGACCCGTTCGGCTATCCAGGCTTATTGGCTTTCTAGATTATGGATGTGCCATGAATATGAGAACACTGTTAAATCATTGAGGCAGTTCAAGAATCCATGTTTAACCCTCCTCTTGAGGGTCAAAAGGTTATCAGACACTTACTCGTCGCACGTCAGTGGAAAGCACATTTCATGCTCCTTTCAATAAAGTGATAAAAATGGTAGGTCAGCGCTGAAACAAAAAAGTTTTCCACTCTGTCCATTATGCCATGTCCTCAGAAAATGTCTAATATCTGACCTTTCCCCCCTGCCCTTGACCTGTGACCCCAATTTCGCACTGGTGATGGGTTCCTGCCCATCACACTATACACCGAATATTAAGAGCATAGGTCGAGCCGTTAAGATTTGTGCCGCAATTCCGTTATTTCCTCCTATACCTTAAGTTAAGGGGGAAATATTCCCCCTCTGTTTACACATCTTGACTTTAACCCTTCGACCCCCAAATTTGTCATTCCGAGTCCTTTTCACGATCCCCCCCCCCCCGATGTCCCTAATTATCGTGACCGTTACGTCGAGCGGTTAAGATTTTGCCCAACTGTTGACGCACGGACAAGCCGTGCCGGACGGACGCACGGACAATCATGCGATTCTACAGGCTGCATCTGACTACGTCAGATGAGCTAAAAATACTCAAGTTCATGTCGAAATTTATTTAAATGAATATAAAATTCGAATTGAATAAATAAAAAAGTTTCTGCATGGATGGTACTGCCACACTTACCTGCTGGATGAGCAGACGACAGTTACCAAGTTCAGTCTCACGGTCGTCGATCTTCTTGTTGCTGTCAAGCTGAAAGTTCTCGAGCTGCTGGCAGCGATGCACGAGTGTCTTCACCTCCGACTTCATCTTGCTGACGTAGAGTCGCGCGACGGTAAATTCCTCGTCTATCTTACAATCCTGGTCCAGCTGAATCTGTGCATGCATGTGTGGAAGCAAGGTGTGTTATTATTGTCGTCGTTTGTTGACATGATTGTTATTATTATTATTATCATCATCATCATCATCATCATCATTATTATTATTATCATCATCATCATCATCATCATCATCATCATCATCGTTATTATTACTATTACCATTATTATTATGTACCATTTCTTAAATAATTAAAACAAGAGCTGCAGAGCATCTGGGCTCATCTGAGGTCTGTTGCTACGGTTATAAACGTAACATTTAAGTCGTGCGTAGAGGCACCTTTGTTAGGTGCAGATATGCAGATACGCAGTTGCGTACACATCCTTTCAGCAACCGTCAGCATTCTGCATACCTCCCAAATCCCATTGGTTGATACAAATCGCGTGCCTGAAACTCCTGTTTTATGCTGCATTGTGACCCTACCCCTAACCCTATTTAAAAAAATAATAATTAATTGTTGTAAAAAATTATTTGTTGTTATTAAATTGTTGTAAATAAATGATGTAAATATTTGCATTAATTGGAAAAAAAATAGTTAAATGGATAAAGATAGAAAAATACAGGAAACAGGTAAATGATAAAAAATCTGATGGGATTCGATCAAACGACCTTTGAGCCGTGACGCCTGTGCTGTAGGCGTTCGGCTATCCAGGCTTATTGGCTTTCTAAATTATGGATGTGCCATGAATATGAGAACACTGTGACATCATTGAGGCAGTTCAGGAATCAATGTTTAACCCTCCTCTTGAGGGTCAAAAGGTTACCAGACACTTACTCTTCGCACGTCAGTGGAAAGCACATTTCATGCTCCTTTCAATAAAGTGATAAAAATGGTAGGTCAGCGCTGAAACCAAAAAGTTTTTCGCTGCGTCCGTTAGACCATGTCCTCAGAAAATGTCTGATATCTGACCTTTCCCCCACTGCCCTTTGACCTGTGACCTCCAATTTCACACTGGTGATGGGTTTCCTGCCCATCACACTATACACCGAATATTAAGAGCATAGGTCGAGCCGTTAAGATTTGTGCCGCAATTCCGTATTTCCTCCTATTATATTCCTTAAGTTAAGGGGGAAATATTCCCCCTCCGTTTACACATCTTAACCTTTGACCCTTGACCCCTAAATTTGTCATCCTGAGTCCTTTTCACAATATTCCTATTAGCTCACAACCCCGACGTCCCGAATATCGTGACCGTACATTGAGCGGTTAAGATTTGTGCCCAACTGTTGACGGACGCATGGACGGACGAACGCACGCACAATCATGTGATTCTACAAGCTGCATCTGACTACGTCAGATGAGCTAAAAAATGAATGAATTTAGATAAATTCAGTCTCACCTGTCAGCGTACATATATTTCGCGAGATAAAATGACCCGCTAGTTTTATTGACATAGCCTTACAATATACACTTTTTTTCTTTTTTTTCTTTTTTGCTACTCATTAGAGGCTTAATTAACCTCATGAGTCCGGGGAATCCGACCACCTGTAGTGGTCGCAAATCCACCGTTTTGAATCTCAAACGTTCTCGCCGTTTGTTCGTTTGGTTTCAATATAGGTAGCTTGTTTTACGTCAAAGGTATACCATTCCACTTGATAACGTGTACTCATGACATCGTTTTCCACACTCTATCTCTTTTTGCTGAGTGCTAAGCAGAGAAGCAGTGTGTACCATTTTTCAAGTCTTTGGTATGACCCGGCCGGGGGTTGAACCCACGACCTTCCGCATGCGAGGCGAGCACGCTATCATTGAGCCATCGCTGCGGTATAATGCTTGGTGTTATGCAAGGAGTACCGGTAAGTATCAGATCGATCAAGCAAATATGAAAATGGTTGGTAAAAACATGTGAAATCCTTGCTTTAATATTACACAGTTACAAATAGTTTTACACTTCATAACCAGATTGGTTGGCATGCACAGAGTCCGGTGCATGATCTATCTGTTACAACATGGTTGGTACTGTTATCTTATCACTGTGCAGTGCATGGCTCTAAGACCTGCATGGGTAGGATGGAGTGAGGTTGGAGTAAGGCTCACGGGGCGAGGGAGGCGAGGTGGCTCACCTTCATCTCGTCCTTCTCCTTGCCGAACAAGCTTCCAACATCAGAGAGGTCCTTGAGGAGAGAGGCGAGCATCTCACCAATGCGTCGCCGCTGCACGTTCGTGCTGTCACGTATCTGCTGCAGCTCCGATTGCAGGTGATTGAGTGTGTCCTGTGCCGAAAATATGTACACACACACACACACACCATCTCAGTCACTTCCCAACGATGACTCGATTGCCTCACTGCCACATTTCAATGACACATCAATTGTATCTTAATTGTATCTCACTGGTGCATCGACTAAGTCTCACGATGACAACAGTGTGTTTTCAGTTACGTCTCAACAGCGTATTGATTGCATCACGCAATGCAAACAGTTCTGTTTCAGTAACGTCTCAACAACAGGTTGATGTCTCAATCATTTCTCAAATACATAGCAACTTGGAATATGCTGAAGTTTTTTTTTTAGTATATATTTTTTCTTCATGTTGTATAGCATTGTAATTGTACTGTATTCGTCAGAAATTTTATCATTTTAACTACTCAACACTATTGCTTTTGTCAGATTTTTTCTCCATGAAAAAAACTGTCGTCAGTACATGTATTTGTATCTGAATTCATGCAATAAAGATTTAATAATAATAATAATAATAACTGCAACTCGATCAGTTATTCATCAATGTCTAAATGTAACACTAAACTTTATATGATGAAAAAAACATGCCTCAGACATGTCTCAATTGATGGCACTGCATCGATCGCATCTAGCGATGAAAACAGAAATAACAGAGCATCTGAGAAGTGTCTCAATGACTACGTTGATCACGCCATGCAATGAAAAAGAGAGAATCTCACCCACATCTCAACATGTCAAGTCCATCTATCTATGCAAATGAGTGTTACGATAACGTCTCGACGACTCTGTACTGCAACTGCTGCTGCTGCAACACTCACCATCTTCTGGTTGATTTCCTCCATCAAAGATTCGTTCTCCTTGTTCTTTCCTTCAACCTCAACTGACTTCTGGTCATAATTCATTGCTAGCTCCTCTAGCGCTTGCAGCACCTCCTTCACCTGTAACACGGAGACACGATAATAACCATTCTGTTCCTTACCTAGCTGTAAGGGGCACCACTGCACCTGGGCATGCAGCACCTCTTTCACCTGTAACATGGAGATAATGATTATAGGCTTATCTTACAGTGACTGTTCATGCTCATCGCAGGTCATACTTTTCGGCTACCAAACGACGTGACACGCCATGTAATGACATTGGTTTCTTGACAGCAGGTTATTTACTTACAGAAGACTGTACTTTTGATATTCGCTCTACAATTAAAGACAGCTGGAAGACAAGGCTTTGTTGTCGAACATGCAAACATTTCGTAAAAACTTGAGAGGTGGCAATATAAGCAATGCGATGCTTACAATTGCAACTATGATTATACTAAGCCATATGTTAGCTAATGTTATCCAGCCAAAAATGCTGCGCAATCTATGAGTGTGCATATTGCCCATCGGCATCGCGATCGTGAGAAGAGCATATACCTCTTCCTTGGCGGAGTCGTTCTCTTGTTGAATGCGCGTGCACTCCGACTGCAGCAGCTCAAACTCACGCCGTGTGTTAGCAATTAGTTCCTCCTGGTCGACCATCTGCTCTCTCAGTTGCTCGATTAGCTGTGACTGGTTATTAATCTCTTCATCCTGCCGGGGGCAAAAAAGTACAAGTGACATTTATTTCTCTGAACAGATCGATGCCAGATGTGGGCAACTTGATTGTCTTTCAGTGTCCGACCACAGACCTTTATTGAGACCTTCCAACAAACATTCAGGGCGATACCAATTTTCTCATACATAGTAAAATCTAATTTGCTCCAAATTAAATTCACAAACTCCTTTATCCGGCCACGTCGGGACCGGCACCCATCCGGATATGGGATTTGGCCGGATATGAGAGTTATGCTCAAACTTAGGTTACAATTAAACAGGTTATGGTTAATATGAAATGGAAATATAATGAAATAAAACAGAAATTTTACCGGCAGCATAGCGGACAACACGCACGCACGCACGCACGCACGCGCGCACGCACGCACGCAAGGTTGCTACATCGCGCGAGTTTTGAGCGAGCTTTGAGCAAGATTTTTAGGTGGAAATGAATGAAAAACAGAGAACATACACTGCGAGATCGCGGCCGGTTAATAGAGATTTCCGGATAACGGATGGCCGGATATAGGAGGTCGGACTGTAGTTAAAACAGTGAAGCAACCCCTATAAAGCGGACAACTGTCTACAAAGAATACATTTGGGGCTGTCCTTGAGTGAGCCTTAATATATATACAGTTTTGACTGTATATATATACACGTGAATACTGATTAATATAATGTAAGGTAACGTTATTGTTGTTTGTTGTTTATGTTTTTGTAATGTCATGGCTCATTATGCTTAAAGAGTCTATTACTAATACTAGGACTACCACTAACGTATCTAGACTCTATAGAGTACTCTATAGATTATAGATATGTTAATGGTAGTCCTAGTAGATGAATAGTATATATACATATTCATGGCACTAATACTCGTACTGATCATCGTCAAAATATCTACACGTGTTCGAGCGTGCCTTCCACAATCTGATTGGATTTTGAAATCAGGTGACATTGTGTCACATTTTGCTAAAGAAGTCCATTTTGCTAAAGAAAACCTTATCGATTTACAAACCAGGTGACGTTGCCCGAGATTCCGACAGTCTCGATGGAATCCTGAATGCGACAAGAGTCCCAGTAAAAAGAATTGTTCTGTAGACAAATAGCTTAAAGTTGCGTTGTTCTCAGTTTTTGCTAGGTGTTGTTGAACCCCGGCCTGTTAGGGCACGATTCGCCAACCTGCCCTAAGAGAGCTAGTGCCTGCAGTTTTCCTCGCCCTCTTACAGAAAGCATTTAGATAAATGTTATACGATTTCTCAATTTCAACGACGCATACATACGTCTACTATTATTAGCCTATATGGCTATTAAAAGAATTATTCCTGCACAATTGAGACAAGTGACACCTGACAGCAGGTGTTCTGATGCTAAACTCGGGGGCAAACGAATCAAGAGCACCCTCCCATCGCTGCGTTCGCTCTCTGTCACGAGTTGAAGCTATAGGGCTAGTGAGGGCACGCACGCATACGCTGTAGACGGAAATGTTTGGTAACGTCAGATAATGGAAAGTTTAATAAACAATATAACAGTTCAACGTTGGCACCCGCACAACCCTCACACGCGATATTACGGAAAGCTATATACACATTAAATGATACACATAATATAATTATAACACGTTACACAGAAATGTTTAGGAACTGTTACAGCACAACAGCCGCTGTGGTCCTCCTTAGTTCCTCGACTTCTTCTTCTTCTCCCGCTTCCTCTTCGGCTTCTTCTTCTTCTCCCTTCCTCTTCTTCTTCTCCTTCTTCTTCCTCCGCTTCTTCTCCTGCTGGGCACCTCTCCTCGTCGTCGGCTTCTTCTCCTGCTGGGTACTTCTCCTCGTCGTCGGCTTCTTCTCCTGCTGGGCACCTCTCCTCGTCGTCGGCTTCTTCTCCTGCTGGGCACCTCTCCTCGTCGTCGGCTTCTTCTCCTGCCAGGCACCTCTCCTCGTCGTCGGCTTCTTCTCCTGCTGGGTACTTCTCCTCGTCGTCGGCTTCTTCTCCTGCCAGGCACCTCTCCTCGTCGTCGGCTTCTTCTCCTGCCAGGCACCTCTCCTCGTCGTCGGCTTCTTCTCCTGCCAGGCACCTCTCCTCGTCGTCGGCTTCTTCTTCTGCTGGGCACCTCTCCTCGTCGTCGGCTTCTTCTCCTGCCAGGCACCTCTCCTCGTCGTCGGCTTCTTCTCCTGCTGGGCACCTCTCCTCGTCGT